TGCGCCTGACCGAGAGACTGTCCATTCTTGTCGGTGATGAAATGCAGCTCGATCGTGCAGGTCCAAGGTGCGTCGGACAGGAAAAATGCAGACAACAACAAATCCGCACAGCTTACCATATATAGACGCTAAGGCCCTGATCGGGTGCCGGGGTTGGGCAGCCGCACCCAGACTGGCAACGGCTGAAGATCCCTCGCTACCAGACTCACACGCGCGTCATGGGCTTGAGGATCGTTGTTGGGACGCTGGAACTTGTCGGATCTAGTAGTCATCAATGTTTTGTAATAATCATTTGAAGTCTCTGCCCGCCCCTCCTTCCACTGGGACCGTGTTTCTGCCCCTCCAACACGTCCCATGCTGCCGTCATCCTCTCGGGGAACGTCGCGCAACATGAACAACGCGCTTTTGGCACGTCACAAAGCGAAAAAAACAGCAGGAACTCGACCGCTGCCGCCGCCGTTTTGTGCTCGCCACATTGGTGTGCATGGTTGTGGCTATAACCACGTCCCTTCAGCTCGACCTTGCAGACCCCATTCCAATGCACACGTCTGTGCTCACAGGTCAAGCCTGGCTTGACGAACTCATCACCGGACATCATCGACGCTTCCGGGAAGCCTTGGGGATGGCAAAACATGTCTTCCTGCAACTCTCCATTGAGTTGCAGATGTTCCACGGCCTCTGCCCCCACCAGACCTTGTAGGTACATTATAATGTGCCCTGGATTTTCCAGCAGTGCACATTAATATGTGCACTTTGCATCTCCTGGCCTGGTGCACATTGTAATGTGCACCCTTCCCCTGCCATTCCCGGCATGCTACTGCCAGTTCCGACATCAATGGCATGAGGTTTCCTTATTTGTACCTGCTTATACACCTTCTGCATTGGGCTACAAATTGATTGACAGCACCTGCCTGTCAATCAACACTATAACAACAATTGATGGAAAGTTCCCAGGCATGTACATCAACTTTGCCATCATTTATCGCCGGCTCTGGGAATTTATTTTGTGTTTTGCGCAATAACTAGGGGGTCTCTTGCAAAACTGTAAATACAGCCAAATAGCCCTCGGCCGGCTCTACAACATTGATTTTGAGACCATTTTTAGCCAACTGCCTTTTTTGGTCACTACGCTTTTGGCCCAAAAAGGAAATTACAGTGTTTTCTGTCTCCCTAGCTCAATTCTTAACCATTTTGGATGATCTAACCACATAGACCTATAGATCTGTGGTCATTCAAGCCACCTGGGACACAGTAGAGCCCATTAGAAAACAATAATAGGGTGAAAATAGCGAAAATCCTTAAATTACATTCTGATCATGATATCTTGGGTATATACCCTTGTAAATGACTCATAGATACACAACATTGTTTCTTTGGGCTGCAAAGACATTCCTCAGATAGGTGATCAGATGCTAATAATTAAAAACATCGCATTTTGGCTATACAAAGAAAATCTATTTTGACCTTACTATGCACTCCTCCATCATGTGAGGCCTTCCCAAACACATCATTTGGATGTTTCTCATGTATATGGAATAGAAAAGTAAGTAATGCACACCTGGAATGGGGAACACTCCATAGTGCAGGGTGATCTTCTTGGATGTACTTGTTCACTATGTTCTGGCTGCCATAGGGCCAAGCCTACTGTTAAAACACTTAATACTAGTCTAAATAAGCCTTAAGAACGGTTTTTGGGCCAGAAATTGTCACAATATTTGATAGTAAACTTCAACAGTGTGATTTGACACTTTTTGCTTGTTTCATGAATAGTGCATTATGTAGGCCAGATAGTGCAGAATAAACATCAGAAATGGAATCAGACAGTCAAAATACACCAGATTATTCTTTACCTCAAGTGATTTGGTTAGGTTTTGGTTGAATGCTGCTTCCGAGCATATAGGTTCAAGAGCAAGTTTTCACACTATATGTATGCTCACCTTAGCTCAAAACACCATCTGGCCAAAAATTGACCAAAATGCTTCAAATAAAGCCTAATCTGGTGTATTTTGACTGTCTGATTTCATCTGTGGTGTTTATTTTGCCCTATCTGGTCTCCATAGTGCCCTATTCATGAAATGAGCAAAAGGTGACAATAGACACTCTTGGAGTTTCCCTCACTGTATGGGCGCTCTTTTTGATTCAGAACTGTTTATGTAGCTCAGTTAGACTGGAAATGGTCTTCAGAACATTGTTTATGACCCTGTGGCATCCAGAACATGGTGAACAAGCACCCACAAGAAGATCACCCTGTACCATGGAGTGTTCCCCGTTCCAGGTGTGCATTACTTACTTTTCTATTCCATATACATGAGAAACATCCAAATGCTGTGTTTGGGAAGGCCTCACATGATGGAGGAGTGCATAGTAAGGTCAAAATAGATTTTCTTTGTATAGCCAAAATGCGATGTTTTTAATTATTAGCATCTGATCACCTATCTGAGGAATGTCTTTGCAGCCCAAAGAAACAATGTTGTGTATCTATGAGTCATTTACAAGGGTATATACCCAAGATATCATGATCAGAATGTAATTTAAGGATTTTCGCTATTTTCACCCTATTATTGTTTTCTAATGGGCTCTACTGTGTCCCAGGTGGCTTGAATGACCACAGATCTATAGGTCTATGTGGTTAGATCATCCAAAATGGTTAAGAATTGAGCTAGGGAGACAGAAAACACTGTAATTTCCTTTTTGGGCCAAAAGCGTAGTGACCAAAAAAGGCAGTTGGCTAAAAATGGTCTCAAATCAATGTTGTAGAGCCGGCCGAGGGCTATTTGGCTGTATTTACAGTTTTGCAAGAGACCCCCTAGTTATTGCGCAAAACACAAAATAAATTCCCAGAGCCGGCGATAAATGATGGCAAAGTTGATGTACATGCCTGGGAACTTTCCATCAATTGTTGCTATAGTGTTGATTGACAGGCAGGTGCTGTCAATCAATTTGTAGCCCAATGCAGAAGGTGTATAAGCAGGTACAAATAAGGAAACCTCATGCCATTGATGCCGGAACTGGCAGTAGCATGCCGGGAATGGCAGGGGAAGGGTGCACATTACAATGTGCACCAGGCCAGGAGATGCAAAGTGCACATATTAATGTGCACTGCTGGAAAATCCAGGGCACATTATAATGGTACTACAGGGGCAGCTCCCGCCCCTCGAAGTTTGTCTCTGCCAACGAAAAACTAGCGATCTTCTTGCATATAGCGCGTACGGGTAGCAGTACTCGGATGCTCCAAGAGCAATTTCAGCGCAGCGGCGATACTATCAGCAAGTACGGGTTCTTTCTTTGTATTATCCCTTCTCTGACATAGCGCTAGGTCTATCCACACTATCCTCAACTGTCTCACAGGCTCGTTCTACTCCAAACATGTCCATCTTCCCCCCGATGGCACACCTCCCGAAATCAAGGAGACCGGCAAGTTCTACCCGTACTTCCGCAATGCGCGCGGAGCACTGGACGGTTCCCACTTCCATGCATGGGTTTCTTCCGAAGCCATGGCTCGCTATCGGAATCGGAAGGGCTTCATTGGTCAGAATGTGCTCGCGGCTTGCAACTTTGCGCTGCTCTTTGTATACGTTCTCAGTGGATGGGAGGGGAGCGCATCCGACTCACAGATATTCAACTACGCGCGTAAATGGGATTTCGCCGTGCCACTCGGAAAGTACTACCTTGCCGACGCTGGATTTCCGCTCTGCGATGTTCTCATGGTCCCGTATCCGCGCCGGGATGGAACGCGCTGACGCCGGTGGCCACGATGCCGTCGACGAGGTACTGCATGTCGTCGTAGAGGGCAAAGGGCTTCTTGCGCCACCGAGCGTACTTCTTGCTGCCCTGCAGACAAGAGATGAGCTCAGAGTAGACGGAAAGGAATAGAGGCACTGCGACACACCGGGACCTCGAGTAGCTTTTCCCAAACCTCGTCTGTCGCCGTTACAATCTTCAGCCCCGGGTCGAACCCAAATCCGGACTTCTGCGCAAGTTCGCGGACATCGATCCATTGACTTTGAGCTGTGACGCCGTGAGTTTCACATTCGGGCAGCAACGGCAAACGCGTGTACCGTGCCAAAGTGGTCGCGGCACTTCTCCGGGGTCTTGACCGCGCCAGGAGAGTCCGTGAGGGCGTTGGCGACAAGTGTCCATGCCTGCGGCTTCCAGCCGCTGTCAGCCTGCATGCCATCGTCCTTGCAGGTGCGCAGGACTGAAACGAGCGTCGCGTCATCGGTGTCGCGCCAGACAACTTTTTCGCCTTTCTTGGCGGTGGTTTTGGGCGCGGTCGGGGCTTCGGACATCGAGAGGGACAGGCAAGGGACCGAGGATGAGGGAAAGAGGGAGAGAGAGAGAGAGCAGAAATGCGGCTACTACAACAAACACGTCATATCGTACGATATGACTCCACCCCCAAGGCCACCCGAACAGTCCCATGGCTACGGAATGTTCTCGGAAATCATCCCGTAGCCATACGGGATCTTTTTGGCTGGATACGGCTGCCCAACCCCGGCACCCGATCAGGGCCTAAAGGTTCGGCAATAATAGTATGATCTGGCGAGATATTGGCTCTGCTGCTAGAAATTTGGATGAGTTTGAAGGCACTGGCTCGCTGCCACCCAGATCACGTGATCGACGGCAATCTTCGGAGCGAGCACCCGTCGCGAGCCGCGGATCCTTTTTATAGATATCCCTGGCCAGGCTGGGTCGAGAACTACATAAGCGGTTGAGGAAGACTAGTAGCTGGCTAGGCTGGCTAGTTAGCCACACCCGCAGCCGCAGTCGGCCACCACGCGGCGCGACTTGCGTCTAGGCGTCTAAAATGAATTAGTAGTTGTGGGAGGCGCCGTCTGATTGAGGCTGCAGAAAAAGCGGGCAAGTGAGCTTCGGGCGGTGGTGATTGTCAACTTGTTCAAGTTGAAGTTACGGCGGCGGTCGCTCTGATGTGGAACTCCGGACCGCACCGAATGCCAAAGGAATACTCCTATGACACTAGCTTTAGACCACTTAACATGTCTTGACTAGTATATCGGTTAGTACACGCGCTTGTCATATCACTGTATGTGTGGAATTTAACCGCGCGAAAGCTGGGTTCGACTCCCAGGTCGAGAGTTTCTTTTTCGTCATCTTTCTTTTTGTCTGAATTCATCTTTGAATTTAACTTGTTCGTCTAGCTCCGTTCATAACTATTTGTTAATCCAAGTTTTAACTCGATCCTACTGACACAGCCGCAAATTGCCTGCGACGGGGTGCGTGAAGATATTTGAAAGAAAATGCACACGTAAGTGTTGTGGGTCGAGAAAATTGTTGGCTAAGACAGGAATTGGGTAGCATGGGTATACAGCAGCTATCCAACGAAAGACATCGCATCGCATCACATAACGGGCGAAAAAGCACTTATCAGCAACTTGACTACCGTAGACCCAGACAGGTAGGTATGTGCACGGCGATAACAACAAATCGGACGGTGAAATTAGCCGCGCGTATATGTGTCCTGTACATGTAGATGCGATGCGAAGTTGAAGACCGTGTGGTATTTGTTTGGCGGAAAGGGCCGAGGGAGGGGAGGATAATTGGGAGGAAACGAGAAACGAGAAATGAGGAGATGGGTAGATGTCAGGGAGGAAGTCTTAGATTAGAGCGGCCGGAGAACTGGGCCCGGGGCCACTGGGACCGGTGTGATTCGGGCGGATGGGTTGGTGTGGTGTGGTGGCCGAGCCGCTGGGAGTTGAAGGCCGAGTCTTCTGAAGGGGACACTGCTTCATCGGCGCGCCCGAGAGTTGATGGGCATTTGAGCTTGAAGTTCAGTGTTTGTACCACTTTTGGATTTTGTCCTGGGACACAAGCGGCTCCGGGTAGGAGGGCAGAGTGAGATTGTTGTTGGATATGTAGGAGGAGTGCCGTTTCTAGCAGGCTTTTACGGCCCAATTTGCGGAACCGTCGGCTAGTCGGTGAGTCTCGGTGCCGCATCGTACGAAGCACACACTTCCAGCCGAGGAGCAGCAGAACAGAACCGAGGATTAGGTTTAAGGTTGACGCTTGGATTAACGTTTTAAAGGGGTCGGCAGCCCTCGGGTTTTGCACTTGACGCTATCCTGGACGTTCCGAGCGGCGGTAGTCGCTGTTGAGTGCCCAGAGAGAAGCCGCCAGAACGCCGTAAGAGGAGTGCGAGTGGAGGTACGCGAGGAGCGGCATTGGGTGCCCTTGCCCAGGAAGCCGTCGTCATCGTAGGAGTCGTCTTTTGAGGAAACTGAAAAGCCAAAACTTGTACTAAGATCCTCACGGGCTGCTTCAAACTAGGTCATAGTACACAGAATCATCGTGTGAGGAAGCTGAAAGCCGCAACAAGTCCTATCTGCGAACCACGTTGGGTGTTTGAGGCACGTTGGGTGTAAGAAGTGAAGCACGTTGGGTGTAAGGTAAAGTCTATCGATGATTGATGATTACGTTACGCTGATCCTCGCCGTTTTCTCTTCTTGCTATCGTCTCGTCGATGGCCAGCAGCGGCCGTCGCACCCACCGCAAGAGAATATCTGCCCTGCGCCTGTCTTCAGACACCACAAACACCCTCCCAGAGTACATCGGCTGGCGCGACCTCGTCCCGCCTCCCAAGTATGACTCAGAGGAAGGCGCCGACGCCGATGCCGACGACGATACAGACGACCCCGACGACCACGCGGATCTCACAGTCGTCTCTAGACCAACGTATATCTCGCCGCCCGTCTCGCCGCGACTGCAGCATCAACAGCAACGGCGGAGCCACCGCCGCCGCGTCTCGAGTCCACTTCAGCAGACGGACGTCCTCCTCGACTCGTTACTGGAGCGCAGTGTGCACGCACTCGAGCTCTCCAACGCGCTCCTTCAGTCGTCCATGTCCCCCACCACCGCTGCGATTGAGTCTGAGGCTGAACCCGAACCGCCCCGGGCCGCATCTGCGACGATGGCGGTCCCAGTGCGGCGCAGCGTGATGCCACCCCGCGAACACGCGCGCGACGCAGAACCCGCATGGGCAGACGACCTCGCCGCAATCGCGCGCGACGTCGACGAGCTGCTCGTCAGCTCGTCCCTCCCCGCATCTGTCTCGCCCGTGTCCACCCGCCGCCCGCAACGCCGACCCTCGCTCGATCGCGCCGCGCCGTCGGGGTCTGGCTCGACCTCGTCGACGGCGTACCTCTCCCCGCGGTCCGCGTCTCCTACTGCGTCGACGACCTCGTACACCTCACGTTCGACGTCCCATTCCCACTCCACCTCCACCTCGCACACATCCCACGCCTCGACGGGCAGCACCTCCACCGCGGGCCTGCGCATCGCCCCCGCCGCGCGCCAGCGCCTTGTCGCCCCCGCCCCGCGCGCGCTCACGCAGTACGTCGACGCCTCGCTCGACCCGCAGCACGCGCATCTGCACGACGAGGAGGATCAGCACATCGCGCTGCCGTCGACGATTGGGCTGCGCGCGCCGGGGAGCGAGTGGGCGGGCCCGGGGCCTGCGTTCGACGTGCGGCACCGGGAGCGTGACGGTGAGGGTGACGGTGGATACGAGGGTCGGTATACGGCTCTTCCTGGGCGGACGCGGGATCGGGAAAGAATGGGGGAGTGGGGACGGGGACACGAACGTGAGCGGACGATAAGACCCCCGCCGCCGCCGGTTGTGGAGGGGCTGCCGCCTCTGTCCTCCGCGGACGCGTTTACGTTTCCGCGCCCGCACGGCCTTGCGTCTTCCCATTCGACCCATTCGAGTCGTTCTTATTCCAGCCGCGAGACGCAGAGGGAGTCCAGGGCGTCGCCATTGCGAGACGGGAGGGACCGCGAACGCGAACCGCGACACCAACCCCACGCGCTGCGGGAAGAACCACGGCGCGCAAGGGACGAGCCAACGGACGAGTGGGTGACGGTGGGCGCGCGCGACTGGGCGCCGGACGCGGCTGCTGCGCTGCGGAGCGCGGTTGGGGCTTCTTTCTCCTCCGCATCCGCTTCCGCTTCCAACAGCGCGTCTGCGTCTGCGTTCAACACCGCGACCTCGAAGCGCGGTACGGGCACCTCTAGCGCGGGCAGCTCCATTTCGCGGGCGAGCGCCGGCGCGGGGCTACAACGCGCCGCGAGTGTGGGCGCGACCCCCGTCGCCAAGTCCACGACGTCCAAGTTCGCGCCCAGCCTGCCGAATATCGCGGGGAGCCTGCCGAGTCTTCCGTCGGCGCTTGCGGGGCTGCTCCGGCGCGATTCTGCGCAGCCCAGCTCCAACTCCAACTCCAACTTCACCTCGAGTGTGAAGGCGGCACAGGGCACGCGGAGATCGAGTTCGCCCAGGTCGGCGGGGAGCGGGGGTTCGAGGAGGGGGCGGAGCGAGTCGCGGAACGGGAGGAGTGGGAGCGGGGGTGGGAGCGGGACGCCCCGCGCGTCGGGGGGCAGTGGGATATCGTACTCCACCCCCGACCTGCGCCTCATCGCCACCAGCCTCCCGTCCGAGTCACGGACGTCGTCTGAGTCGAGTGGGAGTTGGGGCGAGGAGGGGGAGGAGGGGTGCGGGGGTGCGCATGGGGGCGAGAGAGAAGGAAGACAAGGCGGGTGCAGGGCGAAGGAGGCGCGGAGTGCGTTGAGGAAGATTTTGGATGAGGGTGAGTTTTTCTTCTACTTGTATAAACACTAAGCATGGCATATATATCTAACTCGTTCGTCCGCAGCACCGAAACCGCCGCCGCCGCCCGCGCCCCCGCGCCGGCAGTTCCTCCCCCGCTCGCCGCCGCCGCTGCCGCACATCGCGCCGAGCACGGCGACCGCGTCCGTGTCGCGGCTGTTCTCGAAGGGCGGGCGGCACAGCGTGAGCAGCGCGCAGGCGAGCCAGCCCGTGGTGGGCATTATGAAGGGGCGGAGTGGGCGGAGTGTGGTGAGTCGCGCGCGCGCGCGGTTCTTTGACCACTAAGTATGTCAACTCACATTTTGGCTTGGGGTAGCCGGGGACGCCTGTTACGCCGATGACGCCGGTTGGAGGTGCGCCGGGGACGCCGAATGAGGGCGAGCCCAGCCAGCTGGGACCCGAGGCGGGCCCGAGTAGCGGTAGCGGCGGCACGCACAGCCGGACGCCCAGCGTCGGCGGCCTCACGGCCTCTACCGCGTCGTTCTTCAACTTCGGGATGAGGCGGAGCCGCCCCGGGAGCGGCGCGTCGACGCCGAAGCGCATCAGCTTCGCGGAGCTGCCGGAGAGCTACACGGGGTCGGGGTCGGGGTCGGGGAAGTATGCGGCGGCGAAGCGGAGCCGGCGCGCGGGGGCGAAGGGGAAGGGGAAGGCGAGGACGAAGGGGAAGAGGGGGAGCGAGGACGGGGAGGGGGAGGGGGAGGGGGGGCGGGGGCGGGGGGTGGTTGGCGTGGTTTGTGGGCGGGGTTGGGGCGGGGATGGGCGGGGGGATGGAGGAGAGGGAGAGGATTAGTGGGGGGAGGGGGGGCGGGGGGTGGGGCGGGAGCGGGAGGGGGAGTGTTGATGAGTGGGCTGTTTAGAGGATGGCGCGCGCGCGACCGAACCCCCGCCGACCGCTGGGCAAGACAAAGACAAGGCGGACGCTACCTCCCTCTACCCGCTTCCCTCCCGCCTTCCCTCCCGCACCCGCATGCCCTCCGCGGACGAAGAACGATCTACGCATAAGGCGCGGACCTAATTTATGCATACATATTGAGCAAGTATCACATACATCTCTCTCATCCTCATTCTCGTCTCTCCTTATCATTATCCATTCTTTCCTCGTCTTGTCTTGCATATGACCCGTCACGATCCCTTCCTTCCTCCCTTCCATCCTTCCTTCCTTGCGAATTCCCTCCTTCCTTCCTTCGGCATTATATTGCAACTTACGACCACTATCACGAACATGACCACGAACCACATACATACATACCTCGAGCTACCCATATACCTCGTCTGTCTCGAGCTCGCACCGCATTGTCGATATCCTGCGCTGCGTCCTGTCGTTATCCGTCCTTCTGTTTGCATATAGTATTTTACATACCTGAGCCGCTGTAGTGTAATTAGAGAAGTGAATGTTGTTTACATTGTCTACATTTTTGTACCGCGCCTCCATCTAATACAAGATTGAGGTAAACCCGAGTCTACCACGGCGGGTCGTATG